TGTTGGCCTCGTGGGGGCCTCCAGTGGGTTTTCAGCAGCAGCGGGCGGCGGCAGTGTGGCTGCGTCCTCCTCGAGCTGTACAGCAACAGGACAAAGACGGGGGTCAGCAGCGGAGCCAGCAGCAGCAGCTGAAGCAGCAGCGGAGCCAACAGCAGCAGCAACAGCAGCAGTAGCAGCAGCAGTATCTGCTGCTTTTGAGCTCTCAGAAGCAGTTGAGCGCTTCAGCAGCAGCAGAAGGAGAAGAAGCTTACCGTGCAGGATGCTGGACCCTTTCTTCTCTCGTCAGCGGGGGAGACGGCAACGCCGCACAGCAGAGGAGCTGCTGCAGCAGGCCGAGGCAGCTTGTGCTGCTGCTGCTGCTGCAGGTGCTGCAGCACCAACTCTTTGTTATGGTTCCCTGCTGCAGGACCTTCAGTGCCTCTCCCGCAGCCTCGCGGTGGAAATGCTGCAGACGCAGCAGCGCATGCAGCTGACGGATATGCTGCAGCAGCGGCCAGCAGCAGCAGCAAGACGCGGATGGGATGCATCAGCAGCACGCTTATGTCAGCTGCCCCTAAGGTACAGCTTCAGTGCCCAAGGGGGCCCCCAAGGGGGCCCCCTTGGGGGCTCCCTGGGGGCCCCCCTACGGGGGCCCCTTGAGCTGCTCGCGGAGTTGCGGGGGGCCTCGGGTATGGCTGCATGCACTGGAAGCAAAGATATTCCTTCTAGGCATACAGACGCTGCTCCCTTTTCCTCTCCGGTCGTCGCTGCTGCTGCTGCTGCTGCACCTGCTGCTGCTGCTGCTGCACCTGCTGCTGCTGCTGAACCTGCTGCAGCTGCTCCTGCTGTTGTGGCAGGAGGTTCTGCTGCTGCTGCACAGCCTGCTGCTGTGGCGGCATCTGCTGCAGCCAACGCAGCTGCTGCAGCTGCAGCTGAAATCAGCGGAGGGGAGAAGCTTGAAAGAGGATCTGCGAGCGCAGCAGCAGCAGCAACAGCAGCAGCAGCAGCAGGAGCAGCAGCAGCAGGAGCAGCAGCAGCAGGAAGTGGTGTTGGGGGTGTATGGAGCGAAGAAGACAACTGCCTGCTGGAGGCTGAGACA